AAAATAGGTGAATCAGGAGGAAAGGCACTGGCTGAAGCTTTATGCAAAAATGCCACCTTAACGAACTTAGAATTAAGTTGGAATAAACTTGGTGAATCAGGAGGAAAGCTTTATATAAAAATACCTCTTTAACTAATTTAGATTTAGGACATAATAAAATAGGTGAATCAGGAGGAAAGGCACTGGCTGAAGCTTTATGCAAAAATGCCACCTTAACGAACTTAGAATTAAGATACAATAAACTTGGTGAATCAGGAGGGAAAGCGATAGCTGAAGCTTTATGCAAAAATACCTCCTTAACTAATTTAGATTTAAGTTTGAATAATATTGGCGAATCAGGAGTAAAAGCATTAACCGAAGCTTTATGCAAAACTACCACCTTAACGATTTAAATTTATATAGTAATATAATAAGTGAATCAGGAGGAAAAGCACTGGCTGAAGCTTTATGCAAAAATACCTCCTTAACTAATTTAGATTTTAATGCTGGTGAATCAGTAAGAAAAGCACTAGCTGAAGCTTTATGCAAAAAAACCACATTAACTAATTTGGTTTAATCTGAAATAATATTAGTGAATCAAGAGTAAAGGCGCTAGATGAAGCAATTGAGCATAATTGTTCAGAATGCCCACAAAACTATTAAAAAGTAATGAAAATGAATCCACTTCGTATTGGTGAATTTGAGTTCCTGTGTCAAAATTATTTATAAACAACCATCACCTATAATTAGTTTATCACCAAAAAATTACAAAACTTGCACATAAGTCCATACAATGTAGATTTCTGTTTTAAAGTAGTCAATGAAATACAATATACCTATGAGATAATTTTATCCGAATTCATATTTAAAGAATCTTATTAAGCAAATATTTTTCAACTCTCAAGATTTCACATGATTAACCGCAAGGTATACTGTAAAGTGCTGGATAATGTATTCAAGCATTTACAAAAATCAAAAATGTACTCGGGATATATATAATCATATTATTCAGATATGTTGGGTTATGCATGAAAAATAAGGTTTCAGCTTATATATACATTGTGCGTGGTACATTTATTTGAAACCTAGTTGCATTATATTAAGATTAGATAAGAAAATTGCATTAAACTAAAATTAATTGTTTCTATAAGTAATGCTGAAGAAAAATAAAATCTTGAGCACTTTGGGTTTTTAGACTCATATCAGATTTTAATGATTAAGTCTGATAGGTTTAAAAATCGAATTCTGGTTTTCTTTCAGCGTCACTCATATTTTGTTGAAGCAGAAATTAGTAATACTGTAATTGAACTAATAATTTAATGAGCACATTTTTATTGCATATGTTCTGTTCACTTTTACTTCACGCTAACAAATTTAGCTGGTTAATTCAATTACCAATTATATACAGTGCAGGACAGCATAAGACATCCAATTTTTTATAACTTTTTTAAAATAAATTAAAATAAAATCACTCATTCAAATTTATACTTTTTTTACTTAAATAACAAATCTAAAGAGGGATTTTCAAAATTTTTAATCTTATAAAAGTTATTACAATTTAAAATATATGGTTTTTAAAAATTTGGCACGTATATATAATTTTAAGAAATTTGTCATTTTCATCATAAAAATTATTTTAAAATTTGGCGCATTGGATGTCTTATGCTGTTCCACAATATAATTAGAATTTGTCTAATCAAATAAATGGAGTGAAATGTACTAACTTCCTGCTTTAACAAAGTAAAAGTACGTAGTATAGTATTCATAGTTCCTTTTTAAATTAAATGCTAGATTTTTGGTTTTGACGTCTTAGCATAAAAGCTTGTATAAAACACAGTGCATGAATAGTCTATTAATTGATTAATTCAGCACGAAATGCACTAAGAATGGTTCTTATTTGATTCTTATTATATATACATTACTCAGCTCAGATTGAAATTAAAATAACAAACAAGTTTCGAACTAAAATTGATATTTATATAAGTACATCAAAAAAAACCGAGCTTAGTCTTTTATAATTTACTAGACTCAATTCTTCGGATTTTTTAAGGATTAAGTTCGATAAGTTATAATTTAAAAGCCGATGCCTATTTTCCTTCACGAACCAAGCATCGCTCAATAATCAGTTCCTGTTTTAAAACAGAATTATAATTTCTATATTTCGTAATGTTTACAATAACGAATAATGTATGTGTCGCACCCTGCATTAGGTAATGTTAGGATGTAAAAAGAGGTTTGTAGTAATATTTTGTGAAAATTCTTTGTTATAACACAAAAGATAGTTTCATATGTGAAATTTTGACCAACTCAATTTTAAACCTACGTCTATTCTAATCTGATTCATATATACAGTGGCGGCCAAAGATATTGCATCACCTGAAAAAAAAAATTCAAATCCATATATCTCCCCAAAGTTGAGTTATTCTGGGATGGATTTTTTTTATTTGAATTATCAGTACCAAGAGTAATTATCGCTGAAATTATATCGCAATTGAATCACATGACCTTGCCCTACTCCGTGATTTGTCCGTAAACCCCGATGCAAAACTTTTGATCGTTCTAATT